AGGCAGCAGCTGCAAAGCTAGTCAGCAGGGCACTGGGACCAGACCTGTTTCAGGGCTAGTCTTCATTGTGCTGAGAGCCACAGAAAATGAAACAATTTCTGTCAGCTTCACAGATAGACAATTAGAACTTGAAACAGGATTGTTAGATAGAGGCATGACAATTCAGCCTATTATATTTAGGCTTTCAAGATATCTGTTCTGGAAACAGTTTTCAGAAGCTAGTAGAAAGACAAGAGAGGCAGCTTCCTTCCACTCCAGAGGGAAGGGATCTCTGACACATTCTATGGATTCTAGTTAATATACCTGCTAAATTCTGCTTCTCTTTTCTGTTGTTGTTTACTTTAAATTTATTTTCTAAGTAAAGGGATAAAACCTTAGAACTTTCAAATTCTTACTGTACTGTACTGAACACAAGAAACATTTCCGATAGAGGACAAATGTGATTCACATGTTAGTGAACCGTGAAATTATGAACCACAATTAAACTGCTAGCTCCAAAGGTAAGTTATCTTCTATGTTCAGTTAGCTCATGAGCTCTGAGTTCTCCCTCCTAGGAACGTAAAGGGAATATGGATATAAAAATAGGCTTTTTATATAGGTGTCCTGTCCCTATGGAATATGCTGCCTCTGGCAATCTGTAATGTTGCAATGCAAAGCAACTAAAAACCTACTTTTTAAAAATTTGAAAATTAGAAGAGATGCAATGGATTTGTTTTTAACCCTTATGTCCTTTGAGATATGTTGTCATTGTTTTTATTGTGGTTATGCTTTTTGATTATTATTACTCTTGGAAGTATTATGATTTTCTTATTTAATATTAGCAACTCAGAGCTTTTGGGGGAAAGTGCAATATAAATGTTAGTAAATTAATACATACGTGTATAATAGATTAATGAAAGAGCCTTAACTCTCTGCAAGGATGCACTGATCATGGTAGGCACCAGTATATGTCATCAGCATTGAAATTGCTCAAATATCTTGGAAGTCTGATACTATAGCACTGATACCCACAAATAAAAATATCAGCGTCACCTGATAGATTTCTAAATATCATCTCAATGTTCTAGATTTTTTAAAAAAATATTTCAACCCCTTTTGCTTAAGAAATGGTTCATGCGTATCTCCATCAGGGCAATTTTCCTTACTCTCTATAAAGAAAGATTTTTATGCATGCATGTTTCCATGTGAACAACAATTCTGATGTTGCAGAGTCCCAATATCATGCAAAGACTTCCTCTGGCAAATACTAGCATTGCAGCAGTATCTGCAATGAAAATGAATAAAACTAAGATAGCAATTCTGACACGGTTTTGCAAAAAAACACCAAGGATGGAGTGGAGAATGCAATGGGAAACTTCTCCAGTTGTTTGATGTGCTTTTGGTACAGAACTCAGGACTCAAATCCTTATAGGAGGGAAGGGATAACCACAGTTCTGTAAATGTTTAGCTTTATGGAGATAGAGATGTTGTGTTTGTTGAGCAAATAAACAACTAGCTGCCCCTGTGGCCTTCTGATCCTGGAGTCAATTTCTTTGTCCAAAGACCTATCACTTGAGACAAGACTTCCCAAATATTTGAAACTGTTTACATCTGTCATCTGGTTATTGTCACCAGTGATTTTTTGGATCTAAAGGCTGGGCATTTGGCAAAAGCTGAGAAAGTACTAAGAAAGCTCAAGCAGATAAGTCAGGCCAAAGAGCCTTTTAATTACATGTAAAACCATTTTAAAACTGCACATACAAATTTGATACATAAGATTTTGAAAACTACATTACACATAATAGCTACATCAAATTCTAAAAGCTACATCTCCCCTCCAAATCTGAAATTTTGTGAAGTCCTAAATTGTAGTTTGTTTAGCTTTGTGCCTAAATCCAGCATTGCCATGTGTAGAAACATCTGGGCTATTATTTCTCAATCTTGGCAACTTTAAGATGGGTGGCCTTCAACTTCCAGAATCCCCTAGCAAACCTTGCTTCACTGGGAGTTGAAGTCTAACTATCTTAAATCTGCCGAGATTGAGAAACACAAATCTAGCCTAATGAATAGACTTTCTTGCTTCTTCTATACCCCCATGTAACAATTTAATTTGCACAGTTCAGGAGAAATCAGGATTCTGGAGAAATAAAAAACTGGCACTTTCTTTTATTTTGACTAGTTCTGCTAAAAGTATTACCCATTTATGAAGTAAGCTATCATTAGGCTATGATTCCTTCCAAAATGGTTATTGCTACGTTCCATCCTGGTCGTTTTTCATTAACCTATAAAAGGATTAGTTAGCTAGCTTCTTAGTACTCAGAATGGATTGTGAGAAGGTCAAACATGTTGTTTGCAATATTTAGAGGCCACTTTATATTTTTAGTGTATTATGCCATAATCTTGAATGTTTCGAGCCCAGAATTTAAATAGTCAGACTCTCATCAAGCTATATTTGGTTAGATAGAAAGCAGGATTCCTGCAGACCTCAGTTTATATACCTCTTTCTGCTAAAAATATTATATCACATTATATTATGCCATGAACAATTTATCTGATTTTTCTTAAATGCCCAAAGAATCATACATAATGAGAGGTTTTTTAAGAGGGAAACAATCAAAAGTTCTTTTATACTATTATTTTAATAAGTTTCTGACAGTCCAAAAACATAGCCCAGGTTTTATTTGAAGGGCATCCATGCAGGCTTGCTTGTAGTTGAAGGTGTTTCTTCATGGTAACAGAGCACAGCACCAAACAACCAAGGGACTGGATAAAGCTTTTCTGTTTTTCTCTATTTATATAATTTATGTATTAAGAAAAAAAGAAGACATGATTAGACAAATATGGAAAATCTCATTGGGTTCTCTGTATAAAGTTGCTCCTCTCCCCATTCATTTGAAGTAACTTGAAGCTTTTTGCATTTTTGTATAATCATACTGAAAAAAATAATTCTGATTATATTGCTGCATTGGGTAAACATCCTTCTCTCACCTCCAGTTAAATTACTTGGATCATATCAGTGGATAACTGTTATTTCCTTGTCCATACCAGGAGATTTTATGACTTTTGCTTTATTACAGATTTATCTCCACATTTCAACACTACAGATTAGTTACTTATATATAAGATGAATCCTAGAAGATATTAGATAGACATTGATTACACAATAAAAGCATATGATAGCTTTTGTGGGATAGTATTTCCTTAGTAAGGATAGGCAGTAAGGGAAGTGAAAACTACATGTTACCTTGTTTCCTATCTTGGAATTATTATCAAATAGATACTTCACTGCCAACTCTGTATTTCTGATGCAAACATTAAGTTAAGTACACTAGCGATAAATCCCTTTACACTCTGAATAATGATGCTTTAAATCAGCAAAATTATTCAAAGTGTGAAAACACCCAATAAGCAAAACTTCAAAGCTTCTGTTATTAGAAAATGCATATATCTGAATATGGCAATTATTATTATTATTTGTGCTTGCTAGGACTTGTAATCTAGAGGAAACACCTCTCATTGCTTTTCTTGGTCTTTTACCTAAAGTTTATAATAGCATCCCGCAACACGATGTTTTCAGGAACTGAAGATTCTGGGAGTTGAAAACCATGAGTGAAAACAACTGATTTATATATCTGGATTCTGATCATAACTGAACCAAAAGCTTACTTGTATCTATGTTTATTTGAGATTTTGTCATCTCAAAATAGCTGTTCCTAAGGAATTTCAAGAAAAGGAACCAATTGTGGTTTCTACAAGTCTTATAATTCCCAGTTGATGCCTACTGTTATCCCATATATTGTGCTGAAAGAACATACAGAGGAATACAAGGGGATTATGAGGCTGTGGAAGTTGGCCCTTCTTGCTACAAATTATGAAGTCGCCATACTTCTCTAAGGTCTCTGTAAATTGGGTTGTTCAAAAAGGTACTCTACTCATCTATAATACTATTGTAAGACTGAAGAACTGTTTCATGTAAGGGCAGACCTGGCCCCTTTTGAGTTCCCCTTCATGAGTCTGTCTATTGCCCAGTACACAAAGAACACCTTTTCTATGAGGAAAACTATGAGGCTGCTATGTTCAGTAGTAATAAAAGTGGTTGCTGCCTCATATCATCTTCACGTATATTTTGTTGACTCTAGAAATATCTTTCCCCATCTTAAATATTGTAGAACTCTTGTGTAAGCAGGCTACTAGGATTAATAAAGTATTGATATGCCTTAAAATATGTTATAAAATGAACAAACCATATATCTATGTTAGAGCAACAAGGAATCTAATTTTACCATTTGGGGGCAAGGGAGCATTTTATTTATAATAACTTTTATGCTTAAAAGTACAAATCTTGTTGGATTCAATCATTTAATCATGGATAGGATGAAACAATATTCTTCAGAACTTGTCCTTATAATAGATAGCAATACATGCTTTATGGTGAAATCCCTTGTGTATGTAAATATTGGTACAATTTGGGCCACAGAAAGAAATACAAAGCAGTAGCTGCAACTTTTGTTTAAAGTTAGTAAAAGGTCCTTTAAATCCTCCTGTTAGAATTGGCAGCTTTAGAAATTACTATTTGTTGTAACTGAAGACTGAATAATACTTTTCATTAGGCAGCATTTCAAAAATTTGACTTAAGAGGCTTTTTGGAGCATACTCATTTACTTTAGAAGAAACTTTTTAGAATGATTTATTGTTGGAGCCTGAGTAGGATAACAATGGAGAGATGGAGAAAAAAAATCAAATAATAATGGCCACCCTCATGTGCTGTATTGAAATTCATTTGTGCTTATTATTTATTTATCCATTCATTAAATATATCTGTTGCCTGACTCCAGAAATTGTAATGACTCGCTGCCTGAAAATAAAACTATACATAAAAATAACATTAAAAACTACAGCATAAACATTGACTATAAGCCTCAATTCTTACATTATCTAACTCTAGGAATAGTAAGAAACATGTAGCAGCTGCAGCTTTATGTCCATTGCTTCTTAACATATCTGTCTGTTTCTCCTCCTAGAAAACATTGTCACCATCTGCCATCGTTCTGATACCAGAAGCAAACAAGTAGAGATGTACTGTGGAATCTTCATTTGGATGGCTATTGTAAGAACAGTATATTAAACTAGCTGGACTTTTGGCCCATTCCATTATGGCAGGCAGGCAGGATGGGTGGGTGGGTGGGTGGAAAAAAATTATTATGCATCCCCTTCAGCTGCTGCAGGTCAAATAAAGAGAGGCGTAATCTAAGCTGCAATCTCTTTGCCTGCTATTTTTTTTCTATCTAGTTTCTTTATGATTGTTTGAAAATCAGGCCTGTAGCCAACAGCTCCTAGGCAGGTAGTTATCCTCTTGGTTTTGCCAGCCAGGAAATGATGCACCACACCCTACTTTCATGAATTGTTCTAATTTAGAAAAGGAGAGAAGTAATTTTAATTCAAAGACAGAAAGCCCTAGGCAAATTGTGTTAATGAAACCTTCAGAACAAATGGCAATCCTTGCCAATCCTGAAATGGAACAGAACACACACACAAAAGTACACTTTTATCTAAATGGCTAACAATTCAACATAGCTAAAATGTTTCAAAACAATACAATAATCAGTAGTAATCAGAAATTTTGCTCACACTGCAGTAAAAGTAAGACTAACGTCAACCATTTCTTCCTTAAGGACATTTTGAAATAGGACAAGTATAGGAAATCTTAAAAAGTAAATCTTTGTGAATTTTTAAACAAAGTAGCTAAATCGTCTAATCTGAAGAACATAACTATTAGATTTAATATTTCTCTATGTTATGACACAGCTTAGGAACTATGTCCGTCTACCGTTTTTATCTTGCTGGGTATTGTACAAAATTAATCTTCTGTGCACATGAGGCAGATTCCTGTGCTGCTGGATAAGTCAGTAATCTAGGTTTTGAAGTTACAGGAACATCCTGCCACAAAACAGATTTCTTGTAATACTAATCATGAATTGATATAAATGTAAACAAGTGCCAGCCTTGTGAAATTGACCAGACAGGAAACCCAATCAGATGAACTAATTCTACTTTATTGTGAGGTTATATTAACAGAATTTTACAAATCTGAAACTATATTTCTCTTCCTGTCCCCTTTACAGCCCAAGAACTTAGGGGAAGTTCCTTCTGAGATGAGTTGACTTTTATCTGACCATTCCCTTAGCTGCATCTCTTCTCCCAAGGTCATTCCCACTTGCCATTAGAAGAAATATTTAAAAACCAAGCATTGTGTAGAGGTTTTTTTTTTTTTTTTTTTTTTTTTTTTAGGATTAGATAACATGGTTGATGAATCATGTCTGCTCTGTAAACTTTAGGTCAGCTTTCTCCAAACTGGTACATTATGCAGCACATTTGCAGAAACCAATTTGGGGGAACTTACTTGAAAATATATTTCTCTTGTTGACCCTCAAAGTAGCAACCATTTTTGAAGTGTCTCCTCATATGTGTTAAGGAGCAAAGAAGTATATTTATTTATCATTATACTTTAAAACAGGCTTCATATCTTATATTCTTTTTCTGATCTCAGATTTTAAGCACATAATATCTAATCAGCTTTTTTTTAAAGCAAATTGTAGGGGATTGGTTTGAAGTGTGTGTGTCTATGTGAGACTGTGTGTGTGATAATGTTTCCCCCTCTTCCCCCATTGTATAATTAAGTCCTCTGTCTGCAAGGACATTATATCTGGCTCCCAGCATATGTTTGATGTGAATAAATAACTATTAGTACAAATAAAATAAAATATAGGAAGAGGAATTTTTGCAGTCATATACTCAGAGTCAGTTCTTCCAAGGATATTAGCGTTCTAAAAGCATTCAATGAAATAAAAACCAGGCCAAGAGAACATATGGCCCTTAGATTTTTCTTAGATTAGGTCATTGTAAACTATGATCTCTCCAAGAAGAATTTTTCCCCCTACAGACATTTACATTCTCAGATTTTTGACATGATACACAGAAATTATTACACTCTCAATTTTTGGATAGTCTCAGTCTTATTCTCTCTATTATATTCTAGGAAAATATCCACAGCCTTCTAGAATGACTAACAGACTGTAGCCTGTATTGAAGCCAAAATCAACGTTTATGATTGTTTTTATACACAGGTCGGAGTTTTTTCATGCCTTACACAGACAGCATTCCTCTAACCACTACCACCACCTCCTTCTCGTCCTCCTCCTCCTCCTCCTGCAGTCAATCACCATTGACCAGCAACTTTATCTTCCAATATGCCATCAATCTTTGCACAAAGTTTCTGATGTTTCCCCTGATTCCTATTATTTCTAGGCATTTGATTATCCAATCATGTGGCAGGGAGTCAAATGTCTTCTTGTAATCAATCCATGCTACATTCAAGTTGATCTTTTTATATTTTTCAGTTTTCCAAAATCATCTTCTCAACTAGGAGCTGACTTTTTGTTTTTCAACTGTTTGGGCAGTTTCTATTCTGCTCAGGTGGAAGTTTTTTTATTTTTTTTTAGATGCTTTTGGATTGCTACCATATCAGTCAGCAACTTGAAACTTATGCGATGGCAGGCAATTGGTCTGTAGTTTCTTGATGCTGGATCTTTCATTATCAGATAGGATTTGGCAGAAGTTAACCAATATTCAATTTCACATCATGCATTATATTGTTAAACTGCTTGGCAATGAGTGGGTATAGACTATAGTCAAATGTTTCAACCAAAAACATGCAAATTTATCTTCACCTGGTGCTCACCAATTCTTTTATCTTCCTTGCCCTTTTCTCCACATTTCTGGTGTTATTACAAGTTATTTCATTTCAGCTGGGTTTTTCCCCCTTCTCCACATACTTCAGTTCTTCAGTTTGTTTTCTTTCATCTGTTCTAGTTTGCTTGCATCTGATCTTAGTTTGCTGGTCTTACTTTCATCTTGATCTTCTGTTTTGGTGATGCACTATTTGGCTTTTTGTCTATCTGTTTGTTGATTTCACATTCAGTTATGACTGCACCTGTGCTGTACATTAGCTGGTTTATTTCTTGCAATGAGGTGATGTTTATATTTGATATGATAGTACTGGGATCTTTAAATGCTTCTGCTAGCTTTTTCTTTGTTAACAAGCTTCAGTGCAGGAACCTTATTCTACTATTCTGTAGTGTTCTAGATGCTCAGATGTTATAATTCCTTTTGTCTTTTAAATAGGGGGCTTGTTCTTTCTGAGGATAAGGCAGAGGAGAGGATGCCTGGTTTGGGAATGAAAACAATTCAATAGCTATGCTGGCTTCCTCTTCTACCAACCGTCTCTGGTTTGCTTTTAAAGTCTGGTCTACTTCTAGCAAAGCTTTGATTTTTTTTGCCCTGGAAAAATCTTTGTAATTCTTCTAATTCTACTTTTGTGAATACTTTATTTCATATTATAAATCAGCATGGATCTCCTAGCTCTGTTCTATTATTTTTAATTCTGGATATTGTTCTTTCCAGAACTATGCATCTCTTCAGATATCCTTTTCTTGTTGGACTTGATTTGTAATAGCAGATCATCATTTTTTTGTTTTCAGTCTTCATATATTTGTGACAAATAAACAATGTTTCTTCCAGTAGTCCTGCAGCTGCTGGCCCTGATTGTTGACTGAGCAAGGTCCATTCACATGAGCGATGGGCGCTTGTGCAGGAAGGTCCATTTGCATGACTGGCAGGTGCTGGTGCTTGCAAGCAAAGCTCCATTTTTGTGAGCTGTGGGCGCACGCACCCACCACTTGTAAAAATGGAGCTGCACTTGCGTACATACTGGCTGCTTGTGCAGAACCATCTCCTCTCCCTCCCTGCTGGTCCTCAAAGCTGGAAAGGTTGGAAGACCCACAGTTTAGTGGAAAGTTCCAAAAATTATATTTGTGAATTTCCTCTGCAAATTTACTAATAAGAAATGGTCAATTTTGTAAAGTCTGAAAGTAATTCTGAAAGTGGTAAGGCACTGTCTGCTTATTGCGCCTAAAATAAATTCTTATAGATCAGCATAATGAATAACTCCAATATAAATGATAACTAATTTTAGTAACTAAAATGAGGAATAAAGTTATAAATTGTAGTATCACATTGATACTGTCATACTGTAAATCATAAATAGCATTCTGAGGATGAAAATGTGTGAGTATATATCAAGCACATCTTTTAAAAATGATATCACCTTTGATTTTTAATCCAGAGATGGCAAGCATCATGCTCTCATGTTCAGTTCATTAACATGACTTTTAAATTTGTAGAATAATAAGTCAACAATTTGGTGATTAAAGAAGAAGTCAGAGAGACAAACCACTGTGAGTCTATTCCCCATTCAGCCACAGACTTCCTCTGTATTTAATACTTCCCATCTGTAAAATTCTAGCCTTATGCTCATGGGTGACGTGAGATTAAATGAATTTATATTTATACAGAACATATAGATTTGTTTGGATTCCCTAGTGAAGACAAGGAATGAATATTATTATTTCCATGGCAATAGGCAGTTCTATCAAAAATACAGCTTTATGGTTTAATTTTGAGATCTCACCAAAGGTTCAATCAGAAAGAACAATTCTTAAATTAAAAAACTTACCTCTGAGGCAGAAACATTTTTAGAATAAACATTTTATTACTAGTTTTAGCTGGTAACATATATCCATAACTTCATGCTGCCTGTGGGTCAGGGACTTCTTATAGCCCAGAGCCATGGCATGCCAAGAACCCCTAAGCCAGAGAGCCTTTTTTCCCCAGCCTCCCTACATTTGTGCTGCACTGCAGCACCCCCAAACTTGCACGTAGCCTGCCTAAGTAGAGAACTACTGGTAGAAGTGTCTTTCACATGCTGAGCTTCTTTCATAAATGAAGACCCTGGGCAGGCTATGAATTCAAATGGAGGCTCTAGGTAAGGCACAAATGAAATTGGTGCAAAAGAAGGCGATATGAAAGGTGCCCCCAGCCAGTGCAATAGGTTTGCATACTGGGGCACTGACAGCAGCAGGCAGGCCTAGGAGGAGGGGACGGCAGGTGGTACAATGGGTAGACAGGCAGTCAAAAGATGGGCATAAATATGAATGGGCCAGAGTGGGCCTGAATTTTGTTCATGTGACCACGAGCAGCTACAACAGCCAG